TTTTATTCGGGATTGCACTATTATTTTTATGTCCTATTGAGTATTCCTATGTGGTCACCATTTTCCCCTACTTCTCCCAGGTTAGTACGGGTCGTGTCGGAGCGTGGCGGTTCGATGTTGTGGTTGTGCCTTGTTTTGTTGGACGAAAATCTAAAATTTAGCACGTAACTTTGTTCCTTTTAAGTTTAATTACAACATACATTATTTCTAAATTTAATTCTCGTATGTTTATTTGTATATAGATATGTTTAGATTGCACTTTTAATTGAAAGCTGAAAATTAATTGCTTGATGTAGTTGTGTGATTTTCCGCTGCCCATTTCCATTTTTTTAAAAATTAATTGTTTAGTTGGCTGTTGAACACATTAAAATACTTATTGTTACAATTTTATCCAATAAATTTTGGTAACAATTCATATTGAGTTCTATACAAAATTTAGGTCGATACATCTCATGATAATTACAAGTACTTTGTTACTTTCATAGACGACTATAGTTGATTCACGTGGATTTACTTCATGCGTTCTAAAGGAGAAGTATTTTCTATTTTTAAGCTTTTCCATGCATATATTTAGACACAATTTTCTGCAAATATCAAAACCTTACGTTCTAACAATGGGGGTGAGTATATGTCTCATTTGTTTCAGGACTTTTTTCAAACTCGTGGCATCATCTCACAGCAATCTTGTCCTTCAATCCCTCAACAAAATAGGGTCGTAGAAAGAAAAAATCGCCATCTTATTGATGTTGTAGGCACCCTCTTATTAGAGTCATCTGTGCCCTCTTGATTCTGGTGTGAGGCTGTTCCAACTTCTATCTATCTTATTAATCGATTACCTTCTTCCTCATTGAATCATTCGATACTTCCTTGGCACACCTAATTGTGGCTTATTCTTCCATACTGGCTCTTTGCTCTAGCCGCAAGCCTACAGTGATGCTGATTGGGCAAGTTGTCCGGACACAAGGAAATCTACTACTAGATCATGTATGTTCCTTGGTAATGCTCTTATCTCTTGGAATGCAAGAAGCAAGACTGCATCTCCAAGTCATCCACTGAGGTCGAGTATCACGCCATGTCCTCTGCCTGCTCCGAGATCATCTGGCTACGTGGTCTTCTCACAGAGCTTAGTTTCTCCGAGGTTCAACCTACTCCACTGCAAGGTTATCACCCTTTCACACATTTCCACTACTCTACAACTTGCGAATATCTTCACCAAATCGATGACCTGCTAGCGCCATCATTTCCCTATTAGCAAATTGATGCTTCTAAACCTACCGGTATCAATTTGAGGAGGGATATTAAAGACAGGCTGTAAATTACTATAAATTAGCAGGCTGTAAATCAGGATTGCAATCTTTGTAAATCGGCATGTATCAATTACTGTAAATAGGACTATAAATAAAGGCAGTAAATTAGGGTTGCAAATCACTTGCATATCACTGTAAATTAAGGTTGCAAATCAGCATGTATATTTCCTATATAAAGCGTATTCTCTAACAATAAAGAACACAGTTTTCTCACATAAAAACTCTCTAATTTGTCAGCTAACAATGTCAACATACAGACCTAATCATAGAGAATTGATCGTTAATCTATGATAAAACCAACCTTTGTGTTTTGGATAGTGTCTGTCTGGGAAGCACCGACACGATATCGGCATTAGCGTATCGGTGTCCGATACGTGGCGAACACCGATATGTCTCCGACATGTAATCGACCTGTGTCGGAGGTCCCTTAAGGTTTGTCGGAGATGAAGAAGAAATGAGGTCGGTAATAGAAAACAGTAAGCAAAATCGGAGGTTGCCGCACACATGAAGAAGAAATGCAGAGACGCTGAGGAAGAAGAAAAAATGTGGAAGAGGCATGTTTGGATATGTTTTGGAAATGAAGAGGCATTGTATACGATTTAAAAATGAAAAGATGTGTTTGGACTTTGGACAGTAAACCCAATTATTGAAATCTACTATTCAAGTCAAATGTGTTGTGCCTCAAAACATTAAATAGTCTACAAAATTTACTTTTCTATATCTAATTGATAGGCTTTCTTTTTCACTTTTACCCTCAACAAACCAAAAAATTTATTTTTTACCATTTTACCCCCAATAAAAAATTAAACTTACAAAGAAAGTCAAATCCTCGGTCCCCTTTTTTTATAACGGTATTATACGAAAATTGCAAAAAAATTATTACTTAAGACTATTAAATGAAAAAAAAATAATATAACTTTTTTGAAAAATCGAGTGTCGACATGTCCGATACGTATCGTGTCTGTGTGGGTGCTTCTTAGGTGTCTATTTTCTAAACCTACAGCTGTGATTTATTTTGTAAATGAGACATCTTTGACATTTAACATGATTTAAAAAATCCTAACATAGTTTGTAAAGTATGGTAGCAACATACAATGGCATTTCATGTAAAGCATTCAAAAGGAAGCTAGCTGGTAGCATCTGCTATTCTTTCTTTCAGAAGGGATACCACCTTCCACTTTAAAAGTGATCTCCCAAATTATCAATCAACACAAAAAAAATAAAATCATGAAGGTTACTTGATGGGTAATATTTTCCCAGAAAAAAAAATCCAACGACTTTCCCCCATACTGACACCCCTCTTTGCAGGGTCCTATAATGTTAGATTATCGAATAATTTAATTCCCTTATCTAGGATCTTCAAGAAATCACGGATTCTTTACTGTCCGCTCTATTTATCAACACACAATTTACAAACTAGCTCACCTATTTGCTACAAATCTCTAGATATCTTGATCTTAGCACTGTTGTCTTTTGATCAGTAAATATATTCGTAAATGCGGTTTGAAACTAAAAAGTTCCCACATCTCCACCAAGTTC